GCTGGTCTTGCGAATTCTCCCTCACTGGAAGACAGGGAGTTCCTTGTATCACAAGTCAGTGGCTTTCAACAAAAAGACTGCTGAATGTCACAACGGGCAACCCATCTGCGAATATCACCTGTCCTACCACGTCCTACCATCCTTCGCACATCATTGCCGCTTTCAAATCTTTCAATGCCAAATGAGGACATGGCATCACTCAAAGACTTGGGTGACCTCCACCTGGTGGTTGTGAGGAATGCACGCTCTGCACCATCCCTGTTTTCCGGATCCGTCTTTGTCGTCCGTGGTCATTGCAGGTGGTGCAGCTGGCCGTCGTGCGGCACTGGGGCCTCATGGTAGAAGGCTTGCACAGCGCAAGGCACATCAGGCAGCTTGTGCTCCCATTGGATGGTCGTTCCCTGGTGCAAGGCCGAAATCGAAGTGTCCGAAATTGAGTTGGAGACCAAGCTGGGAAGACTTTCCAGCTCTGCTCTTCTGCACCATGGTCATTTCATGTCACTCCGCCTCAGAAAGGTCGCCTCAAACGAACTGTCTGCTTGTACATTCATATAACATCATATAACACAGAGTCCAGCCTTGTACATTCGAATGCGCTTTTTCAGGTCGACCTGGGCGGCGCCCGGGTCGAACGCGCCGCGCCGCAAAACGCGCCGGTGAAAAGGTCGCGAGCTCACGTCGCTCAGCTTTCAGTAAGCCACGATCGTGAGGCTACTGCCATGATGAGCCGATGATCTCCATCAGCGACTAGATCTGCAAGACATAAGAAGGACCTGATCGGTCAGAGTGGTCACACATGGTTACACACCGCAAAAGCTGGGGAGAACAGTTCAGGGAGCCTGGTTTCACTGGTCTCACTTGTTTCATAGGGAATGCTTGAAACAACTGAGCTTCAAGACGAATAGCAGCTCATGCCTGCCACAGGATCATGCCAGGCCTGAGCGCAAGCCACGGCCCGTCAGGACGCAAGGCAGAGGCAGATGGGCGTGTGGGTTATGGGCCCAGAACCTTATGCACCTTCACTTGAAACATCTTGAAACAGTCTCTGTAAAGGTGGCACTTTCAATGCTGGCACGGGCGCTTTTCCAAATGGTAGCCCTCAACATCCTCAACTCTTCTTGCGTATCGCATTGTTCTCTTGGCCCTTGTTGAAAGCTCCTTATGTTTTCCAAATGTCAAAACTCATTTCATGCTTTGCATCTTGAACTACACTGACTCCTCTATCCTGGAGCAGATTTTCACTAAAAAAAGCTGTACCAAGGTCGAAGAAACTCTTGTGCTGTAGGGCAAAGCCGCAAAAGCTTCCGGGCCGCTTCTTAGCTATGTCAACAAGAGAGCGGTTTTCGTTTTCTGAATAACTAGTCACTAATCACGTCTTGCACTGCTTTTGAACATTCTCACAGAAGCGCCTCTGTGATTTGTTGGAACATCTCGCCAAAAGAAGGAAGGCATTACATTTCGAAATCCGCATGAAAATGGTGGGCTCGAAACACAACTTTCGCTGCACCTTGCCGAATCACGCACTTTTTTCAGCATCTGAAACGGATCCGTCTAACTTGGCCTGATTTGATAGAAATGGCGATTGACTTTCAAGGGTGCGAGGCGTCTCGCTAATGGGTCAATTTCAATTTTGAACGACAAGCTTATCGCAAAATTGTCGTTGACAAGCTTCGCTGTTGTCAAGCTTGGGTAATGCAGCAACGCAGCAATGCAGAGATGCTCAAGTCGATGTTTTGCTTCGCAACGGAGGCGACGTGAGTTTCATGGCTTCAAACATGAAAGCAAATGGACGCAAACAAAGACTGAACGCAGGTGCACCCTGCCGCGTTGGCGCACTGGGAAGTGGGCCGCGCAACCAGCCATGGAAACCCTGTTTACTGAAGCAAATTCTATAGATTGTCTGTCTATATAAACCAAAACCACTTTGAACCATTAAACCAACAACTGCTTGGAAAAACGCTTCTTCGTTCACCAAATCGATAGCCAGCATCATTAAAAAGTCGGTCTCCTCACCGCGGGGTCTCCTCAATGTCTGATTGATCGGTTGTTCTGAACTGACCTCGCTCCCTGAAATTGTCGGTCTGTCGCTTCTTCATTGAGTACAAGTGGTGGGATCATCTGTAACTCAAAAAAACCCATAAAATCCCGTATGTCAGGTCCGTAATTCTGGGCAACTGGCATCGAGCCAGGGGCTCTTCTTCTTCTCCTCGGGCTTGGACGCCTCGATCGCCTTGGCTCCTGCCACAGAAGGCTCTATCTGGCTGTAGCAAGTCATTCTGATCACAGCATCTCGGTTTTCTTTTGTCCTTCTCTTATCCCATAGCCATAGAAGACACCCAAAGATAATCTATTTTGGAACCTTTGTGATGGCTCAAAGGGAACAAGCCGCTACATCGAATCATCGCTCTGCTTTCCTGTAATGGTCAAGTGTTCACAGGTTGAAGCAACCCGAAGTTCTTGCAACATATGGAGGCAGGAGGGCCAAAGTATCATCCCCCATTCGAGGTCACTGCTGAGGCCTACCCAACAACCAAGCCCCCCCCACTCACAACCCCCTTTTTTTGAGAACACATGTAAGGCCAAAGGAGTCCAGTGATCTCCTCCAAAGGAGTTACAGTATTTTACCAGTGCTTACCAGTCACACTGAACACGGGACCACCCTTTGGCATCGATCCGTTCGCTCTCCTCCAGCGTCTGCCATGCCTTCTGAAAGGGCAGTTACTCCTTCGTGCTCGTCAGCCTACATAGTGACGGACAGTGAACGAGGGGGGTGGCAAATAAGGGGTACACATCAAGAGCCTGGGTCAGACTGTAATGGTGTGAAGGAAAAGACAGAAAGAGAAAAAGGAGGCAGGGCTCATGCTTGGGGCATGCAAAAGATGCAAGTTTAGCATTATGCCGATTCGGTCTACCCTTCAACTATCACAAATGAAGTGGCCAATGATCCATCTACCCCATGTCTTCTAGAACCGACTCTGCTGATTAGGAATCCCGATTGAGCAGAAACAGTACATAAGGAGTGTTTTTTTTCAAACAAACAAGGACAACTTGTTGACATCGTACATAGTCCAAAACAGATCCAACATGATGATGCCACAATGTTGACTGCTTGATTGAATAAAACTCCCCTACCTAGCAAAAAACATGTCCACTAACTGGTGGCTGGATATTCGTCGCACCAATCCCACATTCACTATCATTCACATTCACCCACCATTTCTGATGCGGTTTGACCATCGCCACCTCGTGGCGCGGAGCTTTGCCGGGCCATCAGACACGGGCCGACGGGGCCTTCACGACGGTCGACGCGCCGAAGGGTCGACGGTCGGACGCGGCGGTTCAACCACCTGAGCCAGACGCGAAGACCAGCTATGCCACGTGGTGGAGCAGAAAAGCATGTTGGATCATCTGCAGCATCTGGACTCTGGACAAAACATGACAAAAAACAACATATTTTAGATTGAGGGCTCGCGATATCGCACCCTTACCTAAACCGACCCACCAGGTGTTCAACGATCCAGACATGATTCAGTAGCTTGCTAATTGCCTCTTTTGAACTGACAGCCATGGAAACAAAAGGCCTCCTTTGCTATAGACAGTATAGACGATGTGCGAGCAACTGACAACATTTGCCGCCACCCAAAGAACTTGGACACTGGGGCGACCGCCTATTTTGGTGAGAACCTATTTTGGTGAGAACATGGTGGCTTCATGTCAATGTGGCTTCCCAGTTTCCTTCTTCAACCAGCCTCAAACTTCCATTCATTTTGTGCGATTTTGATGCAAACCTGGGTAGAAGCATGCAAACACGATCAAACTTCCTCGACTGGTCGTTGTCCGTTCTCGGTCCCCCAATAAACAAGTCAAACGGCTGCACCCGGCAACTGTCCCAACGTCCGATCTGCGGCAACTTCACTTTCCGAAAGCGGCGGAGTCCTAAGGATCTGCCTGTACAACTCTCCGCTCCCTCCCTGCGCGGCTGCGGCACCCCCGGCTGCGGCCAAACGGCCGTGTGGAGCTCGCTGGACCAGTGCTGAACCGGACCCGGAATATCGCTGATTTGCCCGCTGATCACAAGCAAATTGGGATCATAGAACACCTACAGGCTTGGTCTACTTGAATCCGTAGTAGGATTTGGTACATTCCCCTCATGGCTCTCATGGGAGAGTGGATGCCAAGTTGGCAAACACCCATAACAGGCGAGGATTGCTACAGGCAAGGCGGGCTCCTTCAAGAATCCTTTAAAGGCAAGAAGATGCAAGAAGCATCGTTTGCCTGCAACACCTAGGATCTATGAGAGTTAATTATCCAGAATCGATTCTCATCCTCAGATTGCTCACCAAAGCTGCTGGTATCTGCCGGTCAAGCCGAGTCTTCCACCCAACATAGGCTGCACTTCTGCAGCGAATCAACGTGCAAAACGATGGGTGCCATCTGTGCCGCGACGCGGAACAAAATGTGGACAAGTCTGACCTTGGTACTCCCATGACCTCCCCTACCAGTGAAGTCGGCAACAATCCATCTGATCCATCTTGAAGGATTACCAGACCCACCTGGCCCACCAAAGATCACGCTCTCCGGGGATCGAAAGCAGAACTTCAAATGTGAATGGAACATCCCCAGCTGCCAACTCAGGCACCTACGTTTTGTTAACTCCAACTGGCTAAGCTGGCTGCCTTTCCTACACCTTCGCCTCCACTGGCTCGGTGGCAATGCACATCACGAGACGGCAAACAAATGGCGCCCAGGATTCCCTCTTGTGGAGACCATCCGGCGCATGGCTTGGAAGAAGAGCAGTGCTTTCAGCTGAGTGGAGGTGACAACCGCTTCGCCATCCTTTTCCCAGGTTTAAGTTTAAAGGGTGAAAGATCATGGGTTGTATACCCAATGATGAACGTGAGAAGTTTTGGGCCGGGGGGCCGTCCACATCTTTCACCCATCCTACATCCCCCCATCCGCATCAACTGCTACCAGTAGTACATCACCAAATGACGAATTTAACGCAGTCAGATGTCCAAAGTTCCACTGGCTGAAGAAGCTCCGCTGCTCTCCGACCTTTAAAACACACCTACGGAATCTTAAGATTTGGGCTTCGTGTGAGACCTTGGAGTGGAGCCGTCAAATGCTTACGACCTCAGCAATCGAACCGGATCACCACATCGCTTCGCCTCGCCGAACCCCCCAATGGTCGTGGAAGAATGAACCCACTGGCCATGTGGCCACGTAGGTTCCGAATGCTAGTTCCCTTGCGAACCTCCAAGGTCTGGCATCCTCAATGAGAGCAGTCTGTGGGCGGGCCAGAGCATTAAATGGTGCTAACCGTCCTGTTCCGAGCCTCAAGCATGGAGAACGATGTCTCCCAGTCATGGAGAACTCGAACTCGACTTGGACCCCCCCGAAGTCAGGTTTCTTCTGTCACATAAAGAGCTCTTAACATCTCTTAAACCTGAGGCGTGGTTTCACAAAGTGAAGAGCCCCTCGTTGAGGTCATGGACGATCATGGACTGGAACTTGGGATGCTTGTGGCCTCTTTCGGTTTCAGGGGAATCATCTGCTGCTGCTCCCTCGGTCATCAATCCGTTGGGCCAACATCGGGCCGCCGACAGAGGCAGATGCGGGCGCAAGCCGTACTGGCTCGTACTGCTCGCGCTCCTGAAGCACCAAAACGCATCGATGTTGATTTTATGGCGAGAGGCCATAGTCTTGCAAGCTCAAAACCTTGAAATGTAAGCCAAAAATCACAGCATATCACAGCGTCGGATCTATCTGGGAGGTGATTTGGACCGAATCTGCGAGTTCGTTGGTTTCGTTGGTTCGATGTTCCCCTTTTCAACGTGAAGGACACTTCGGATGGCTTTACTTTTTTCGGATGGACGATTGGATTTCACTGACCTTAATTGGCTGAGGTCTACGCCTGCGGCACCGGGCAGCTCACTCCGCCCTGATGGGGCTCCAGCCTCAGCCAAATGGACAGAAGGAACCCGGATCGGCCTGCTATTCAGGGTGGATTGGCCTCTGCATATTTCTCTGAAGACAACAGGTGGCACACCACCAGCAAGCCTTGCAACTCTTAACAATTCTTACAGAGCCCCCAACCACGAAGAGTTCATGAATGAGATGAACCGGGGTGGCAAGGCGTTCCCAGGGAACTTTTCCGTCGCAAACCGGTTGGTCATGTGAGCCATGTGAACTTAGGGCAGCGCACAGCTTCGGCATCCTCGGCATCTTGAGAACACCAAACAAAGCCCGATCTTTGAGCAACGTCCGTGGCTCATTGTTGCTCTGTATGAGATAATCATTACATATATATATTATGTACTTATATGTATACATATACACTGAAAATAACTAGTCCAGGGCAAGTGTATGAACCCTTGTAAGGGGTGCAAAAAAAAGCAACTAATCGAGTCGATATGACAAAATTAAACAAAAGGGGGGGGTTCAAGGAGTTAATTAGCTGGGCAGAACTCATTGACCTTTGAGCATGCAAATGCAGAACTTTATATAATTGCCAGGTCTGTCAGGTCTGGATACCTCATTGTTTGTGTAGATGTTTTCAGGTCTGATGTCAACTATTTTTCACCTTGTCAAAGAACCCCACTTCAATTTTTAACATGTGGGAAATCAAATTGCGATATTTCATTCTGAGCTCAGTAGGTGGCCTGAACGAGTTTTCCAACGCTGGGGCCATGAATCTAGATACCATCCAATTGTGGTTGAAACACATCCGCCCATTGCCCATGGTCCCGCATGTCTGGCCGACATGTCTCAGCTACTCCCTGTACCCTTGAAACATCACTTAACTGGGAGATAGCCACAGCGGTGGCACTTGAAAACACTCGCGGCGCCTCCAAGGTTTGCAATAACGCAAGCCACCAACGAATCCAACAAATCTACCGGTTCTGCTGACAACTTATCCATACCTCTTATGCAAGCAACAGTCACATGCGGATGTAGTAGAACGGTATTCTTCCTTCTCCAGGGCTTTCACTGGGTCTTTTGCCCTTTCTCCAGTTCTACTACCAGCTACCTTCCAAGATCAATACCCGGCCCCACTCCGTCCCCTCAACTTACTGCCAGTTCCTTCATGTTCCTTCCCGCCTGAATCTCGTCGCTCTCGGTTTCCTCCTCTTCCTCTTCTTCCTCTTCCCACTCTTCCACCTCCTCAGCATCTTCATCCACCTCATCTTCCTCTTCCTCCTCTTCTTCCTCCTCCTCTTGGGACCTTGACTGCCAGTTTGGGAAGGCTTGTTGTTTGGGTGCACTTCTTGAGGCAGGTCACCGAGTAGATTCAAGGAGGCCGTAGGAGGCCCCTTTCCCTCTACACCAACAGGAGGATATTACTGAGGTAGTAGTCATGCCAGTATACTGTATTCTGTCACGGAACTCACAAACACATGTATGTGTCGGCAGCTAAGCAGAGATGGCTTCGCTGGCCTGGCTGACGTTTTGGCAGCTAAGCCTGTTTGGACGTCCATGTACAGCATCGATCAGCTCAGAGGCTCTGCCCGCTCTAATTCCTCAAAACTGCTGAGATTGCTCCAATCCTTGCCCCTCCATGGTGTACCTCTCCCAAACCCACCGATGGATGGCGAAAACGGCGGGGCCCGGTTCAGAACCGGCCCCCCCGGTGGTTCAGGGCGGTGGGGGGCGGGCTGAGGCGACGGCGAGCTTTCAGTGTCCGACTCCCAGGCATAGATCCCCACCACCTGAGGTGGAGGAAAACTACGGAGGGGCTCCGGGGCCGACGCTGTGGGAACTGCGTGGGTTGTGGAGTTGGACGCCTCCGTCTGCCTAGCGCGGAATCGATTTCCGAGCATGTTCTGGGGGATGAAGTGCCCACCAGTAGATCTGAGCCCCTTTCAGAGTCTGCTAGGGTTGGGAGTTTGAACATGTTTGAACCATACACAGATCTCAGAGTTATGTGATGCATATGGGTTGTATCCCTGGACAACCGGAGTTGGCTCCGCTTCAGCAGCTCTGCCCTAAACCTGTCACCTTACCAGAGCACTAGATGTCTCCAAACGACGTGGAAGTCTAATTAGTCAAACAATCTCTAGTCTTCCATCAAAGACTTGTGGAGCATCCAAGTCTCATTTTCCTGCAAGTTAGATGCAATCCACTTACAGTAGTGTCCAGATATGAGGTTTCATGGATCACCAAGCTTGGGGTGAGCAACCCGCCAGAAAAAGAAGAACAGTCCAAGGCGAGCATGCTCCAAAGTTGTGAAGTGACTTCTGATCAGTTTCTGTTATTGTTTGACAACGCTGAGCTCAACATGATATTTTCATCTGCAAAAGAACATCGGTGGAGGAAAACATCAGAATGACCGGCAGCTTTGTTCAAAGTCCCAACACAACATTGAAAAGTGATCTGCTGCCCGAAGTATCCCCAAAAGTGGGCTTCTCTTACGCTCTTAGATGGGCTTGTGTCGAACGCAACTCGGGGGAGCCTTGTGGCACCTGGTTTTGGACCACAGGGAACCCCCCCTCCCAACGTCCTGGCGATCGTCGCCGAGTCGCCGGAGGTCGATCGTCTACTTCGCCCTGGTGCGGGAAGAAGGGGATGCCGGCTGCAGCCCACAAGGCGCTGGTGCCTTCCTGCGATTTGGGTCTTGTGTTTGTCGGCATTGGACTACCTTGAAGCAGGTTGATCTTGATGGGAGAGGGTGGTGGGGGAGTGTTCGTTTGTGGAGATTTGCTGGACTGTCGATTGTCAATACCACACCAAAGACAGAGTGCAGGGAGGGTGAATGGGATAGTTTTCAATTCTGCCAACACCAGCAATTTTTGCTCCGTGTACGATCCCCTCCGTCTATATCAAACCCAAACAGGACCGCACACGGAAGCCTTTAAAACAATGCCTGCAACCGGATGTGGACCCAGAACCTGCAAAGCAAAGCTGCCCCAGTAAAGGACATACGGAAACTGCCAAGTGTCATGGTGACGTCCCAGCACGACGAGGGAGGCCCGGCCGCAACTACCACGCCTTCTTACAACGAGGCACTTCGCAAACTGAGTCATACTATTCAAACGCTCATGGACCCTGATATGGAGGGGTCTGGGGTCTCAAATACCTAGGTTTTGAGGGACCAGTCGGGCTGTTTGGATCTGTTTGGAGCGTCTGGGTAAGACTAATATCCTTCCTCTGGTTCTCCGCATCCGTGACGATGTCCGAGCCATACGCATTGTGGTGACTTGTCCGTGCCAAAACCGGCAAAAAAAGGCGACCGCGACACGGTTGGTGCGATTGGTGCGTCATCCCTTACTCCGCAGTCGCTACTATTCCAGAGCGGATGATGTGTGAAGAGATGCAACATGCCGACGACCCAAGCCTAAACATCCAAAAGTGAACTGATCTGATCTTCAAAAAGGCTCCACAAGTATATTCGAAATTTGCTTTAAGCAAGGGCTGACAAAGTTAGTCTTCCACAGATTGACAAATTTTGAGTACTTATTAATATATGTTATGATTCCAATGAATTCCAATTCTTATGATTCAAAAATTAAGATTCACAGATATGGTAAGATTCTCAATAGTTTTTCCTTTGTTCACTTCGTGACCCCAGCCGGCCATCGAGTTCCTCGGGGACATCTCTGAAGTCTCTGAACCAAGGCACCTGCCGACGACACGCGGGGGTTGTGTCACGCAGACTAAACAAGTCCTCACGGATATATGTAAGACCATGCTTTGGTAAAAGGATTTGCTCGCAAAACCAAGGGATCTCAGGGTCAGGGTGTAGGTCAGATGTGCTTTTCAACTTCTTGAGGCAGTCTCTCGGTCTCCGTTTCGACAAGGCACCAGTTGCCCTTTGGGAGACTTCCAAGGATTTGATAGAATTGATGTGATTTTTCTAGAGCAAATCTGATCATTCTGATCCAGCGATCCTCGTTCCTTCTCTCCATGTCGTGGATGGCGTGACCGCATTCGAACGCACCACCTTCCCCGTGTGTTTTGAGACTTGGCACCAAAGTCCGGTGGAGTGGATCCCGGGATGCGCCCGGAGAAAGCGCCTCTGGGATGGGCGGTGCAAGCATCTCGGACCTGGGTGGGTCGCTTGGCGGGTGGGTCGATTTGGTCGATTGGCGTAAGGGATCACGCATTTTGCATCCATTTGGATCCATTTGGAGGGTACTGTGTGTGTTTTTCATTTTTTAAATGACGAAAACCACAAACTCTTAGTCGCGAAACTTGGTGTTTTGCATTGTTTGGCCAGTCGAAAGTACCCTCACATTTGCCATCTTCTTGGTTGCTCACCAACTGGGGGTGAGACAAGGATATTCTTGATGCTTTACGTTATTTTGGTCTAAGTGGAGCAATTACTGATGAGGATTTGAGATCACTGTCTGATCACTACATGATCATCTTCAACAAGTTATGAAATGCTATGAACCATGCCTCATCTATGAACCATGCCTTCCGAAAGTGAATGGAAGTCCACGCTGCAGAGTGATGAGTCCAATATTGAAGTGTCACTTTGGACCTCTTTGGAATCACATTTGCCGTTGCCTTCGACGATGCCACCCCAACAATCACCGGAATCTGGCTCGTTGAGCGGGGATGCCGATCCACGGGATGGCCGGTCCAAGACCATTGTTCCGCTCTCGGTTTGGGTCCTCAAATGGTCCAAATCGTTGACACCCCAATCGTTCGGTGTGACGTCCAGTTGTGTGCGATGTTCAAGCATCATGAATCCAATGAACCCCTCAGTCATGCCCTTTTCTTGTCTCCTAATACCTTGTACAGTTGTTTTTTTAAATGCCCTTACTGTGTTTTGCATCCCTTTTGCTCCAAATGGCGAGGTTGCTTTGGCGCCACCAATGGCCATCACACCCATCTCCTTCGACGCAAACCCTCCGGTCTGTCTTGGCATTCCTCGCGGCACCACCAAGTCCGGAGGTGGCTCGCTGCTACTCGACCTTGGGGGCTCAGTGGACAGCCCAGGAAGGCTCAAGAACCAAGCTATAGTAGCGTCCGATCGCTCCTAGTAGTAAGGCCAGGAGCCCCTAGTAGCGTCCGATCGCTCCTATAGTTGTGGGTTATATATTGTTATCATGGGTTGGGTAGGGTATAGTGATCTTGATTCCAATTTCTTCACATTATGAAGGAAGACCTTCCATTTTCCGAAGCTAATTGCCCAAGCTTCAGGGCAAAACCCACATGAACACATAAACACTTAGACTTGTCAGCTCCCGCTAACAGACCCTCTCAGACCTCGAATGTACGGATCAAAAGAACTCGCCAACTTCCAAGTGATTTGCACGGGCATTCTTTAGGAGAACGATTTTGTGAGAACACAGGCCACACGAAGCCGGCATGTACTAGGGCATGTCTATGGTTCTGACCTGCTGTTTTGTGGCTGTCCTGCAAAGAAAACATACACCCACCAAATTGATACAAAAAGGTTTCCCATATGCAGTTTCAAAGGAGAGTCACTTTTTGAATCTTTTTGATCAATTTGGCACACTAAAATTGCGCTAAAGAACTGCTTTCCTCAAAACAGGGACAACCTCCCGCCAGTACCCCCAGTGCCTCTTCTTTCTAACCCTCCCCTCGGCGTCCCACGGCGCCGCTTTTGGGCGCGGCTGCAAGCGATATTGGAGGCCTCCGCTTGGTCGGTCCGCCGCCAGCGAGCTGGGCAGAGCGCTGGGGCAAAGCGTAGGGACTGGGAACCGCCAAGTGATCCAAAGGCTAAGCCTTTCCGTTGACCGTTCACCAAGCCGTTCTGGCACCGTTTCTGTGATTTGGATTGTGGACAAAGACGGTTCTGGCCAGTGATGCTGGGGAGCGATTGATTTCAAGAGCTTGCTTGAAGAAGGCCTGATTTGGGGATTGAGACCTGTACCAATATGGAGGGCATCTCAAGGACGTGCAATGCACTTGAAGAACTTTTGGAACCAAATGAGCAAGTGGAGGGCTCCATGCTGTCCCAAACTTTGGATAGCTGGACAGGAACATAACAAGCCCCATGAATATCACAGGAGTCGGAGTCGTGTCGGAGTCGTAAACATCAACAAGCCAATGGATCTTCTTCGGAGAAAAAGCGTTAACAACCTAAACAAGGCACATCCATCATACGCATGACAGATGGTTGAAAGCACCGTTGCTTAGGGCTTAACACCTGCTGCCATTGGGAATGGACATCTGGGCGATAGCAAACGACGTGTGTCATCGCGTCACCACGTGCGTTTCCGAACGGTCTGCGAGCGAACGGTCACGGTGCCACAGTGGCAAAGCCTGTTCATGCCATCGTTCGGACCTCCTGTTCTGTGCAAAAGGACATGGCACGATTTTACGCATGTTGGGCTCGGAAAAATGCCTCAAATCGCCTCAAACTAGCCTAGCACCAAAAGTTTCAGAGGCGTCTGGTGCAGGGGCCACGCAAAGCCCGGCTCCGCTGGTTTCGCTGAGCTCCGGTGGCTCCCTGAGCTCCGCACGTCCCAAGCCAGGATGTCGACCTCCCACGTTCCAATCACAGCTCATGGGACGGTTTGGCGCACGAGCCAAACAACCCTGGCTTACATATTAGAATCATAAGAACAGGCAAACATGGTAAAGTAAAGATGTACTGTCCTGTACTGTAAACAAAAAGGTTGAACGGTGGTCCAAAATAATTAGGTCTTTGGTTAATTATGGCAGGGTGGATGTTTTGTAGGGGACCCACGTCGGCAATCCACATGTTTCCACATCCCATCCTTCACAGTGTGATCACCAGACATCCATACCAAAACTCTCCCAAAAAGCACTCCCGCGTCAAGGCAAGAATCTCGACAGTCGACACGACGGGAAGCGGCTACAAGTGGTTGAAACGCACAGACTTGTAGAGCACCCCTGTCGAGGTCTGCCTTTGAGATCTGCTCGTTTGAATTCTGAATTCGGCGCTCCGAGTCTTCGATTCCAAGAGTTCCGAACCAATTATGACATGGAATCCTGCTCTGTAGCCTTTGCTGGTCTCAAATTCTTGATGTTTGGGCTTGGGGGTCGAATCCCCCAACGACCCATGCTGTTCCACGCCTCGTGGCAGCCCGGCTCGCAGTCTTGGGGCCACCTGAAGACGGGGGAAAACAGCTGATCGGTGAACGCTGACCGGCTTCGTGCGGCCAATACAGTAACGGAGCCGGATCGGCGAAAACGGTGAACAACGATGAAAAACGAGTGAAGAGCGGAGTGATCGACGATGAATATCTGTCGAGGAAAAGTGACCCGTCTCTGACCAGTCTGGCCGACTTTCACTGAGGAGATCGACTTCTAGCATTGTTTGGAGGCCTTTCAAAGTCATGATCTTATTACCCATGTTTTCAATGAACCATGTAGTGAACATAATAATTGACAATGCTGCTTGAAATGGAGAGGCTTTGCCACTGGCACTCTCAGATCAAGGGCAATATGATGCGATAGTATGCAAAATGTGTAATTAAAATGCAATCACAACTTCTCATAACAACCAAAAGGGTGGTGCAAATATGTACCATCCTTTACCATCACCCCGTGTTTTGGTCCCCGTTGAGCCTGTTGGTACAAATATGATCATCACATGCCATGATCATCACATATGATCAAATATGTACCCTGGACCCTGCCATGACCATCCTATGCATTTTCGTCCAAACGAGAACAGCACTCCACCGCCTCTTTCAGGGTCGGATGCAAATCATTGCCTTCGCACGGCACCCGTGTGCGCCGGCGTGCGCCGCGAAGCAATGCTGTGCGCAGCACAGCCGCGAGACATCCGTCGGGTGGGATGGATGTCGTTTCTTTTTCTGCATAAAGGCTCTTGTGCCAAGGTGATGCACCGCCTGCAGGGTTGGATTCCACAAAATGAAGAAACCTCTGAGTCTCCACGCTTCTCGCCCACGACCGACCCGCACGACCAACCAAAAGGATGGCCGCGCCTTCCGGGTCCGACCCAAAGACCTCCTCCAGCAGTTCCCCGAAGCCCGACTCCATGCAGAACTGGCGACGCGACGTCTCGACGGTTCCCAAAAGGGCGGGTCCGGTCGGTGATGAAACGTGACGCGAACGGGCCAAACGTGAAAGACTTCACTGTTCACCTGAATCACTTTAGCACTAGGCGTGGGTGCTCACAGGTGTTTTGCGTGGCACCAACTGATTTTGTGTGGGAGAGGCCTTCATATTGTGAGAGGACCCACTATAAAAGAGTTCCAGTTCAGGTACTTCGGTCCCATCCCTTGTGGTGACGCACTGGCCGTGCCATCAACTCCACCTCTTCACACTCGACATAGTCGACGCTTCGGCCGTGCCTGAGGAGTACGCTTCGGTGAGGTCAGGCACCCGCTCGATCGATTCCCAGCGTTGAGGAGATTGCCTCCCTCATTTTATATCTAACAAACATGGTTACGTGGATGGCATGGCTGCAATGACCATGAAATCCAAAGACCAAACAGGGGGTTGTCCACTTCTATGTTTGTTGGATGACCCTTGCTCGCATCATCTGTTTCCCGAAGTGGTTTTGAAATGTTTTTGAAAGCACCGTGTCATAACCTCAGGCATCGGATTCCTGGAGAATGCTTGGCATCGGATCTCAGAAACAAACAAACAACCAACAACAACAAACAACAACCACCACCACCACCACAACAACAACAACCACAACCAACCACCCAACCACCCAACCACCCCAACCACCCAACCACCTAACAACCAACAACCAACAACCGACCACCCAACCACCCAACCACCCCAACCACCCACCCACCCACCCACCCACCCAACCAACCAACCCAACCCAAACAAAACCAAACAAAACCAAACCAAACAAACAACAACATATCAATGCCTTTGACCCTCAAGATTGATCCCTGGAAGTAATGCTTGGCTGCTACAGCTGTTTGGGTTGAACTCAAGGACCCATGGACCAAGAATGGGAAGATCTTGGCCGTTCTGTCTCGGGTGAAGAGTTGGCGAAGGAACGTGTTGCATTTGCCAAAGGTGCAAACATCAGTGCGGCGTCGTGGAAGGTAGGGTTTGATCATTTGCTGTGAGTTCACCGTTTGGATCTTGACTTGCGGCGCGGAACACCCCACTGGTCATGATCAGTGATGGCCCCCTGGGATCTTTGGTCCCAGACGTGCATTGCTGACTCCTGGCGAGAGGAGCAATGAAAAAAACACATATAACTGTTTCTATGTTTTTGGTATACATATACATATATATATATACATATTTGGGAACATAGATATCATGCGTTTGGTGCATATCATATCACTATAATATAATGTTTGTTCTGTATACGGCATTACATCATAATACCATGCGATCAGTGAGATCAGTATGAATATGTAAGAATAACACATCACCCATGGAGGTATGAGGTTTCTCCAGGCGTATCACGTCTTCAAAACAACAACGGTCCAGGATGCCTGCAACAGTCGTTGGCTCCCAAATTGAACTAATTTGGTCCCCATGAGTTTGGCTTGTTCAGACGAAGAAACCATCCACAAACACGAACAGAAACATCAAAAACGTTCAAAAACCAATGTTTATCAACGTTGAATCACCAAGCAAGAAGGATCAAGAAGGCCAGCACCACCACATCTCCCACACTTTGTCTACCCTTGATTGCCTCAGATTCTTCGCAGCCAGTCCATCGTGGTAGGACGATGTTTCTCTCGTGTTTCACTCGATGGTTCAAGGGCTGAGCCTGGTGATGAATCATGACATCCGGGGATAATCGAATCATCCTTGTTTTTCATGTATATATATATATTATACATATTTATAAATACTATAGTTGCCTTCAGCCATAATCCGCTATGGTAGTAGTTAGAGTTCGACCACCCATCACATGAATCTTGCGACTGACAGAAGCTCAAAGGCTTAGAGCTGGCTGCAACTCTGCACTAAGCGCCATACAAATCTTTTACTTTTTGCCTTGGCTCGAGGCTGGCTGCACAACTGCAACATAGATGTCTCTTACCAACGCATACAAACAAAAAATCGCTGCCGAACGCACAGAACGAACGGCAGCGTCTCAATGACGTCGAGGAGCTTCTCCAAGGAAGTAACTCGGAAGGAACGTAGGATCGCCCTAAGAACCTGCGGATTTTGACGCGGATCGCTTGGACAGCAGCGGACGCAGGCAGGGATTTTTCTCAAACACGGATCACTAAGGGTGTCTGAGAGAGGCTATGGCCTCCCCGACTCAGAAAGCTTACTAAAGGCAGGGAAATAAAATAAGAACACATCACCCAAACTTTTTGGAAGCTTTCCAAATGCATGCTTTTGGCGGGCTTGACTCTGTTCACTCTCCCTCGATTGTTTGTTCGCTGGTGACCCGTTTTGCTATTTACGATCGGACATTCCATCTCCACGCCGGTGGCGCGCTCCCCAAAGTGCATGCGCTCCTATGCTACGCTGCCTCGCTGCGCGAGAGCTGGCCGCTCCCCGACAAATTCCAATACCTGGGCTTCAAAGCAGAAAGTGGGGCCCTCTGAGGCGGAGGGTGGTCCTAATTTGGAGGATAATCAGTCAATACTCAACGTGCGTGGCGCTTTTTTTTCGTTTCCATGATGGACCGTCGGGCCCGAAGGTCAGTCGCAACTCCTTCTTGGCCTCTCCCATGCAGACATGGACTTCAAGCCTCTAACTTTTACTTCCAAGACCCTTCTTCTTCCCACTTTTGTGAGATGTTGTGAGTAAACACCCGTAGCTGGGAACTCACCTTGGTAGCTTGACCATGGTCTTTTACGTCAAACCGGTCGTGTCCTCCAGTTTTGATCCACAGCCATGAGCTTTCAACCATTGTAATAGCAGAAAAAACATGAGCAAAAAACACCGACCGACTCCAAAACAGTTTGATCCGGTTTTCCTCCGTGCATCATCACTCGCTGCTATGACCCCCCCCAATTTCTGGTGGCTATTTTTGGGTTAGTTACTAGTTATAGTTACTAGTTCATCCCCCTCATCCCCCTTGGGCAAAGACTGATTCAATATCTTTCAATAGACCCAACCATGCAGGATCATATTCAGTCACAATTGATCGTCATGGTGACTGATCGCGATGAACAGCAAGTTGATTGAAAACACCTTCGAACCCCCAGTCACTGCGACTCCTGATCTCACTGGGCTCCCAGGCTTGAACCAGGCCCTTCTCTCTTCAAGGTCAGGAACTGGTCCAAGCGTCATGCATCGCTGGTGCTCCTCGTGTCTCCACGGATGACCAAGCTAGCCAGGGCGTTTATTTCACGCGCTGACCGGCCGGTGTCGCAGGTCGGTCGCGGTCGGTGGCAGGTTTCGATTGATGGCAAAGCCCCCGGGTTAAGAGGTGTATAGACTCAAATTGGGAAGTGAAGAGATCTGTGGAGTGGAGACTTTGGAGTGTTGGTGATGGAACTGCTTGGAGGGCCCGGTGGTCAGTGTAAGTTGTACTTGGCAAATCTTCTCAGCTCCGGGATGATGAGGAACCCTGATGGGATCACATGAGATCTGTCGAGGATTCCGCTGGAGGAGCTTCGTCATGATGAACAACGTGAAGCTTTGGATCTTCCAGTTGGTGTCGGGATTCCAAGCAACTATGCTATACCCAAATGCAAAACACCTTATATAAGAACCCCTTTAGGCCCCTTCAGTCAAGTTCCCTTCCACCACCGCGTCTTGGGACTGTTCAAACATGGGGCCCTTTGGTGGTCTCGGGATCCTCCCCCCCGGGGCTTTCGCACGGCGCGCCGCGTCCAACGCGGCCCCCGGGTCCCGCCTGCACGTGGCGCCACACCCAAACCTCGACTCCGAGGTCCCGGTCGTGGCGCCGAGGTCCCGGCATGCGGTCGCTTCGGAGAGCGGTCCCCGTTCGTGTCGATAGACATATAGTTTATGAATCATTATTCAGTATTATCATAGAATATCACAGATATAGTATAACTATAGTTAGATAAACTATAGTTATAACATGTTATAAAACCATAAGAAACTATATACGTGGTGTGATGCTGCACTGAGCTGCCGGCAAAAAGACCGTTTGTAAGAAAGTCTGCTGCGTGCACCTTGCAGGATCTCATCAATTTAATTAGGTGCATGGTATCACAGTGTCACACATCATCCCTGACCTTGCAACAGCTGCTGATGCCAAGATCAGGTTAATATGGCAAATAGATCCAGTGCTGAACATGTTGAAACTGCAGTGAGAAGGGTCAAGAGATCCAGTTGCATGTTTTCTGCATGGACAGGTCGTTGCTCTTTAGATGACCTCCAGTCCAGGCGGAAAAGCCATGTTGTCTGGACCTTTTGAAGGAAGTTTGTCGGCTCAAACTGCGAGCAACGTGGGACAACAGCAAAAGGTCTTGATTCTTGACGTTTAAGGGCTATCAAGCAGGACTTCTTCGGAAGTATAGAGCCACACTGAATGCTGACTTAAGGTAGCAGTGGGACTTCCGTGTGAGCTCTATAGGGTGTCCCCTCTGCTACCGCTCGTTTGCTTGCGTTGAAGAACTTGCGAATATCTCTAGGTCACTCTCTAGGTCCTATGTGTGCTTCATGCTGTCATGCTTGGATTTGTGTGGGACCACAATGGACCACACACCGAGCATACCCACTGGCACCTCTTGCTCCAAAGCTTCTCCCTGGGCCTGCAAAGGATCGTGCTGGCAATGGCTGGTGGATTCGTTTGAAGAGGCAGGACATGGCGTCTGCTGTCTCTTAGAAGGAATGTACAGGCTCAATCAACTTTACAAGTAGTAGGTAGCTCTGAAATACTTAAGCTCTGTCTATTCTTATAATGAAAGCAGAAAGGCTGGGAATGGCTGGGAATGGCACTCAACTCGTGGGTGCGTTCATTTCCAAGACCAGTCGGTGATGGTGCATACTGGTTGGAACTGTCGAACAGGTCGTAAACGACATCGTTTACGACCAACGTTCAGAAAACGCCAATGATTCAGTACGAGTACGGCAAAAAGCGGATGACGACGTGATGCAACTAACCAATGATAAGGATGATCCTTAAGCTGATGACCATGCTGTGTATACGTACTGCCTAAACAACACGGGCACATATGGATGAGCAGCAGCAAATAATCATAGGCATATAAATCTCTATATGTATAAATATATGTGTATGTATGTTTTCACATGGCAAAAACAAATATATAATTGCAAGAAATACTCAATCCTTCCATTCAAGGAACGGATGACATTTTGACATACTGTAAGCAACACAGGCTAACATCGATGTAGTTCTGAAGAGAGAATCTTCTCTACCATGTTGGTTCTTGAATTTACTTTTGCTGCAGCTCATAGCTCATCTGTGGCGGACTCTATAGTTCATTGCAGATTCTCCCGTTCGATGGGCGGATTGATGTCGACCCTCGACTCGCCTCCAAAGCGTCTGATTCCAAGGGCAGAAGCGATGAGAGTCTGACGGTGCTTCGTCCGGCGGTGCGCGTCGAACGAAGCAAAGGTTGAAAATCACGGTCGACCGACCTCCTGGGTGAGTCAACTAGAAGTGAAAAAATGATCGAACTCATCCTTCGTTCTGACCAAACATGATCTGAAGAATCTTGATGAGTCGATGCCGCTGCAGGAATGGAACCATGATGAAGCGTATGCTATCACATGTCTGTTTCTCTGGTTCTTTGTCTTCGCTACGAGCTTTTGATTGTCCATTTGCTCAAGTGTTCGGCAAGCAATTGTTCCATCAGACCCACACCCGCCACTGTACTCATGGCTAGTCCTTTTCCCACTGAAGCTGTGGCTGTCAAAGCTACACCACGGCACAACTGGGCAGCCGCACGTTCGAAGAAGCATTGGCTGGGCCTGAAACTGAAACGAGGTTTAATTCGCTTGGAGTTCCTGTTGTTTTGCTTGGTTTGCTACTGATCAGACGCATCCAGTCTTGGTGGCATCCTCCATACCAGTTACCTACAATGTGCGAGCTAGACCACATGCCACTTCTTCGTTTGGGAGCTCCCGGACCTTGGATCTTCCAGGCGACCCCAACAAGATGATCCTCGTTGGCCGCCAGGAACTCAAAGCAGCTCAAAGGGTCCTGGCAGGGTTCCAGGTAGGTCTCAAAAGGATCAAAGGTTTCAGCATTGACTAGCTTCAACATGCTCTGTATATAAATTGTCTGTCTATATATACTTTCCATCAACCCATGAGTCCCTTCACCAAAGCAGGATTGCCCCCCAAACAATTCAAAACAATCAACGCCCCTCAAGCCAAACAATCAGCATCCACTCTCCCCCCAGTTTGGTGCTGCACAGGATTTTCCACCCCAAAAGGTCCCAAACAATAATCTCCCCAACTCCCCTGCACGTCGCTCCCGCTGGTCGTCGCGAACGCACGTCGCAGTCTTCGGCCGCTCCTCGCAAAGGGATGGCACCGGGCGCATCTCCACCGCATGGCGTCGGCACTCTGGGCAGCGCAGCGCTTCGCCCTGGGAGCTGGTCGAGGAGGCCTTGGAGCGCGGTTTCCGGTCGAAGAAGCCGCTCATAGAGCAGGAGTCGCTCGTCACCAGGAGAGGCTGTCAGTTTTGGGGCTGAAGAAGCTCCAAATTCCGAATGCCCTTGGCGTGGCTGAACGATGTTGAACTGTGGTCTAGGATAAACATGGATCAACTGGCTGGCCTTCTGAGCCTCTTTCTGGTGGCAGTCATCGCAATGGAGGTAAGTCTGCCAAGCATATATCGATTGCATGGACCACACCCTTCCGGGATAATCGCAGTGCCATTGTGAGCAGTGGGAGACGTATCCCCAAAGACTTCAAACCAAAGGGAATCGAGATTACTTTTTCCTTCTCAAGTGTTCTGTTTTCGGTAGGATTCTGACGGCTCATGAGGTTCATGGCGTTTCTTTGAATGGAGGCACTCGGAAATCCATGTCAACTGCAAGAGGAGAGTATGCCTGGATTAGAGGCCACTATTTCAAGCCAAGCAAAAAAGGCCCTTTCAGTCAGGGAACTTTTTTTGGAACATAAAGGTGCAAAGAGGAGGAGGAGTAGGAGGAGGAGTCCAAGAACAGAACAGGTTCTAATCAGCAAATCCAAGAAGCATATCCTCGCCTGAGTGCCGGCGACGCTGCCAAGGCGTAGGGGTGATTCACTTCACTGGAGACAAACTGGTCCGTTCTGGGTGAGTCTGTTGGGTACAAGAAGTCGGAAGTGCCCAGCGTTTTAAGTTGGGCCTTGCTTAGGCCCTAGATGCACATGATTGCAAGGACTTGCAAATTGCAAGGACTTGCAAATTGCAAGGACTTGCAACTGGGTTAGTGCAATTCAGAGCTCCTTGAGATATCCTTGTTTGTTGACCCGTAACTGCGATGCAACACCTTGCACACGCGGAGGAGGTATATCGAGTTCTCAGAATGCTGACGAGGACCTTGGGACTTGGAACCTAGCCCCAACCTTGCATGAAAAACAGGACAAATCTGTACTGGTCCAGTGAGGAATTGGTCTTTCTATGCCTACAAAACCACACCAACCCATTCCTCCATCCATGTTCACCTGGAGAACCCTCCCCGCCGGCCGGCCTGTGCGTCTGTGGGGCCCCCCACGCGCAGGTGCTGCAGAGGAAGTGCAAGCAAACGGCGGTGTCGGCCACAAAGGCGGTCGGTGTCGATCTGGGCATCGAGCGATGTGGCGGAACGTGGTCGAAAAGGGTTCGAACGGGTGACCCGTGGCCAGACCTGTCCCTCGGTCACATACCACAAAAGAGACGCCGGACACGACAGGAATCCCGAAGCTCAGCAGACTCAGCAGATTTTTGGTTTGGAAATGACTTGACACTTTCTTGAATGGATCTTGTCCATCAACAGAAACTCTCGGATCTTTGTCTGGCTTTTCGAGGTCACCAATGTTGAAGTGTTCATTATCGACAACCGAGTCCCAAACACAATCTGATAAAAGAGAAATCACAGAATATGTTGAAATGACCTGTCTACAGTCTACACATGAAACAAACAAACACCAAACACAGTGGTTCTTGCAACTGTAAGACATTAGATTCTTTAATGAGAACAAGTGCGCTGGTCAGAGGGTGGCCAGTCACCAGTGCAACACATTAAAACAAATTTAATAAAATTAAAACACATTAGAATAAATTCTTCCCAAATGAATGTTTTGGAGTAGAGTTCCAAGCATTTGCACTGGTGTCTGAACAGGTGTGATGGACTGAATGGTACATAATTGCCTGCTCCTGTAACAACAGTAAAGGTTCCCCAGATGTTTTGGGTAGAAGTTCAGGAATTTACACTTGTGTTTGAATTGGAGAAGTGTGATGCACTGAAGTGTACATACTTACCTGCTCCTGTAGCAAGCAGGTGAACCCACAGATATGTTTTGGGTAGATGTTCAAGAATGTGCACTGGTGTTTTGGAACTGATGCACTGGATGCCTGCTCCTGTAGCCATTTTCTTGGCTACTCTGGCAGTGAAAGTGGGCCATGGGAAAAGACAAGAAGCACAAGAAGCAAAGGACACTGCCTTTGGAAGGTCAATAAATTGTGGAACCAAGCTGGAGTCTGCTAGTTTCAACTTGTTTGGCAGTTGAGGGCATAAGCTTGAATTTGCCTGGGTTGTGTGATTGTTTGGAGTTTGGCTGGCTGAACTGGCCAATAGGTTGTGGAATCAAGCTGGAATCTGCTAGTTTGTAATTGTTTGGCAGTTGAGGGCATAAGTAGTTTGAATTTGCCTGGGTTGTGTGATTCTTTGGTGCTTGGCTGGCTGAACTG